TAAAATAAATGTTAGGGGAAACCTTCTCTGAGTCATTCACCATTGAGGCAGGTGTCCCCCAAGGATGGGTAGTTAGTCCTATTCTATTTATTATGCTCTTAAAAGACCCAAACTTGCGGTCTGGAAAAGTGCCCTCACCCCATCTATAGCAGCAACAAATCTACAACCATTATTATATAATATAGAAGAATATTGCCAACAGTATCGTATAAAAATAAACGTTCCTAAAAACCAATTACTTATTTTTACAAGAGAAAAAAAAAACACAAAAAGATCCACCTAAACTATACATGAATGGAACATTTCTCCAGACCACAACCTTGGCAACATTTTTAGGTTTTAACCCTCGACGCAAAGCCAACGTTGGTAAAACATACAAATAACATTTTAACAGAAATTTTGAAACGTAGAAATTATGCAAGAAGTCTAAAGTGGCAATAACCATGGAACCTCACCTGACAATATCATAAAAATCTACAAAACATATATACGCCCCATCATTGCACATGCATGCCCCGCTTGGATAAAAATAGTACCCAAACCAAACATATCAATAAACTACAAACAATACAAAACTCTCTAATTACCACAGCATTTAAAGTCCCCCTTAACACATCATCAAAATTTATGCACAATTACGCAAACCTACAAGCTATAGCCGATAGACTCTTTCATAATACTCTAAATTACTTTAAGAAAAATTGGCTAAAGAATGACGTACTCTGTGAACTTGATCGGTGCTACATACATGCTGGAAGTAAACCTAAGTACCTCTCACCTTTAAACATTTATTTTAGAAACAGGGATTAAATAAGGCCACCTACTACTAAACCTTAAACCCTACACTAGTTTGGACTAAAATAAATACATTTAAACATTTAAAGGGTATTTTATGTAAAATGTTATTATATCAGTTTTAAACGAGTGAAGTTTGCAATACCGAACATAAGTGATGATATGCGCAACACACGAATGTAAATGCACATATCCACATGGACATTGCCCTAAAAGAGGTCGGAGCCAGTGCGGTTTACTCCGACCCTCATGTTGTATCAACATAAACATTCACCTGCTTCTAAACCACAATTCTGACAGGAGGAAGAGGTCATTTGTACCTGACCCTCTCTGGTCTATCAAGACCATAATCCCTATAACGAAGCTGAGCTAAGCGAACGAAGATCTCTTTCTGTTGTTGATTATATTATTAACATGATTTATTTATGTCCACAAGTTATAAATTTAAAAAAAATCACGCAGTGACTAATGAAAAACTTTGCACTAAAATGACATTGACATCTTATAGTAAAGTATTATGGCTAAAAAATTATATTGAATAAGCGCTTATAGTATAGTTGAACTTTTCTAACTGTAGCTCCCTCCTTTTACGATCTATTCATCGTTTCATTATGTATTTTATTTCATTGCTTTCAAGCCACAAATAAAAAAAATTTATCGGTTTTTGGTCTAACCTACAAGCGTTCGATAAATATTTCTCACTGTTTGTAACCTGTTCTTCAAGTGAGCGGCTGTAATAACGAACATCTACATAAGTAAGCTTATTCAGCATGTAAAGTAATATACACTGATGTGAACTCACTTCCTAGTTTAACACAGGGTGCCAGAAGTGCACCCAGTTAAAATGTCTAATAATAGTAGGCTTTCAAAGTGTGACTTTGTCACAGTCACAGAGCAAAAGCCTGAATAGGAGGTCCTTCCTAGTTTTAGATGACTGAGTGGCTTCATTCGTTTGCATGGTTATTGGTAGGTTAACGTCGTATCAGGCAGTGAATTCTATTGAAATTACAACCGACATTTCATACTGCATGAGTGGACTATTCTCTTGAATCGATGTAAATGTAGACCTTAAAATATTTCTAAAGACACAATAAATTGAATAAAAAAAGAGGGGTTTTTGCGTAAAGTAAAAGTGCCAAACTCAGTCCTCAGTGTTTAGTTAAACAGCGCGAATTTCTATGAAACATATTAACATTGAAACTTTTATAGTAGATTGATTTCTCTAAAAATGTACTTGAAGAATCAGGTTCTAACTAAAAAAACGAGAAGCTATAGCGGTGGTTTCGTTCGGTTTATAGATTTGTTTCATAACTCTTTGTCTTTATCATTGATTAGATCGACCATCTACTTAAAAAAAGATTTTCCTAGTGTTTTAAATAACTTTAGTTTTCAGGAGACTAATTAAAACATGAGACAAACAGTAGTGTAAATATATCGTTATCCAGAAAATAATCACATTTCACAATTTTCTTACTTATTACGTGTTAAACAGCCAGTTTGTTCAAGGTACAGTTAGTACTACGTAATGTGTGTCTATTTTGTTAATTTCTTCATAATACCGGTTATTAATCCTTAAAGTACCGACTTGTCTGCTATCGGGGTGATCGATATATTGTATCATACTGATAAATTTTATGTTTTTACGTGTCATAACACGAAAAAAAACTAAACAAAACAATTAGGTGAAATCGCTTATTTTCTGTGTATGTAATTATTAAGATTTATTGCAGTATTTTCGATATTTCTGTTGAAATTTTATTTGTGTAACTCATATGTAATAAAGAGTCCAGAATCCAACAAAGTCTGAACCTACAAGCAATTTGGTGCAAAAAAACACATCTAATTATACGGTTAATAATTCGATGACGAGGAACCCACTTTGAGACTAATAATGGTTGGAGACGGCTTGAATGGGTAATGAAGAAAAACTTTGATATAAGTTTAACATAACAGCAAATGTACAACGATTCAACAAGGTTTTGTCATCATCAGGTACCTGTATTACATTTTATGCATTCTTCTGTTTGTTTTTGAATTTCGCGCAAAGCTACACAAGGGCTATCTGCGCTAGCCGTCCCTAATTTAGCAGTGTAAGACTAGAGGGAAGGCAGCTAGTCATCACCACCCACCGCCAACTCTTGGGCTACTCTTTTACCAACGAACTATATTCACTGAATATTCATGTGAATCCTGCACTCGTCTTCTATTCTTACATTGAGAAAACGTCCTTCATCGTTTGTTTCTCTGGCCCAACCATCGCATTTACAAAGGTGCATTAATGAAAGCATCAATAACTGTCTGAAGACCCACCAGCTTTCGTTTTGAAGTGAAATGACTAATAAAAACACCTTTGTCTCTCATCTTCCAGCCAAACTGACGAATTCTGGCACTGAAAGAAAGAGAGACCAAAAATAGATCTGAAATATTAAATTTACACACATTTGATTTCAATTTCAAAATGAACAAATTAAGAAGGAAAAACTTTGAACTTTATGTAATTTTTACTTTAAATGTTACGCATATCGATTTCTACTGCTTCACTAGCTTTCATGATTTAAACTTAATTTTTAGTTTTATGCTGCATATATAAATAGCATTTCAGAAAAACTTTTGCATATCATCATCCAGTCCACCTGACTGGTTCTGATATTGTGCTACTGTAAGTTATGTTTTTAATGTGTTTATTTTAATGTTTTCTAGAAGGCGATAGGATCTGAAAAATTAATGGAACTTGACAATCGAGGGGGGTTCTAGTAATATTTAAAAACAATGGTACAATCAAAATATCAGCAATGAATCGGTTAGTTCAGTTTCAGAAAAGTTACGTAGTGTTAGAGGTAAAAGTTTTGCGTCTATTCTTCTATTGAGTTTACGTTGTTTATCAATCGATCAACTTTGCAATGAAATTTTATAAGTTAACGTGGTTTATACTGAAATTTTGTATTTGAAGTAAGGCCTACATTTAGTTGTGAAGTTTATGTTGAAATGTTCATTTATGAAATCAGGCCTTCAAGGGAATAGATTTGTTATCGTTGCAAGAATAACAAGAATAACGTTAAGATCAAAAGGTTTAATGAATTACACCTAGAAAACTGCTAAATATTTGACATCAGAGTTTCCAGCAAAAGTATACAACAGAAAATGGGTTCAATGAAGAATCAAAAAAAGATATCTGAGAAGAAACAGATCTTTTTTTAGCCAATAGAGTGAATAGCAGTATGTTTTCGCAGGGCCATACCCTGTGCGAGATATAAATTCTACGCCCCTCCTAAAAAAATATATTTTAGAATGTGCTCTTTTCTTGAGAATTTTTAAAGAATTCAGTAACGAAAGAATAAGATTCCAACTGTGTTTTATACTCTTAGGGACTGAATAAAGGACGCAACGTTAAAAAAATAGCCTAATACTTATGTTTAATGACAATATAATTTATTATAATTGTGCTTCGCCAGCTTAAAAAAAAGCGTTCATACCATAACAATTCTTAGTGTAAATGACTTATCTAATTAGGGTTCCGAACATTACTTTTTGTTTGCTGTGTTCTAATTAGCCTGTTGATTGAGCGAAATACGTCGTCGGCAGTAATATGGTGGGCATAGTGTAGTTAAAAGACAACAACAACAACAGCACTTTCCTTCCTGAAAATCCTAAGGAACAAATGAAAGACTGTAATGCTAAAAAGAAAATAGGGACTGGTGTTAATAATAAAATAGCCAGTTATATTTATGTCTATATAGCTACCTCTAATATTCTCGAACTTTTGTTGGAGGCGTCCTCTGTTGTATTTATGTGTGAAACCATGCTTTTGTAGAGGAATATTAGATTACGATCTTACAGAATGTGAACTTAAATAAGGTATTTCGCAAATGTGTTTACATGTTGATAAAAAGCATTAATTTTTCGCATACTATAACTTAATTCAAGTTTGTATTTTTTTCCTTGAAGAGTGAAATGGTTTAAGTAACAGAGGATTTGGAAACCCAATCTAAACTTCAGAGTAAAAGTTAATATCAAGTATCACTTAAATTGTAACCGTATTTGAGTAAGTAAGAGTAAAGTAAAGATGATATAAAATAGTACTAGTAGTAGTACTAACATTAGGGTTTAGTTTTATTAAGATATTTGTTAATACTGTAATACATTAATAGTAGTTATTATAGTTTATTTGCTCTGACTCAATAACTTATATTTAAAATGGGAACAAAATTGTATTAGAATTTAAAATTTTAAGCTTTGTAAATTGTATCAAATAGACGGCAGTATCTCGAGTTGTAATTTGTACATAATTATCATCTAGAGGAGTAAACAAACACCTCTACATTTTAATGGTGGAAATAAGCTTATATAATAAAATGTTAACTTTTGTGCTACTACTTGTTTGTGCTACTACTAGTAGTGGCTTGTTTTATCATGTAAAGTCCCATTAGGCCTAATTATTAGTAATTGTAACAGTGATAGTAGTACTAGTAGAGTTCGTGAAAAGATTTGGCTATAACTAAAATCTGATGAAGTTCCTCATGGATAAACAGAACCAAGTATAACCTATATATGTTTGATAAATCATAATTTTATTCAGGATATTTTTTAAAAAGGAAGTTAGTTTACTTATCCATAAAATGTTGAAACTGAAAGCTACAATGACTGTGTAGAATGATTAGACATCCCAGTTTGGCCAAGACATTTCTGGTTTTTTGGAATGTTGTCTCATGACTTGATATTGTTTTGGATTGCCTAAATGTCCCAGTTTTCATTATTTTCAGTTAATTTGTAACTTTTTAAAACTTGTATTCAGTCTGTAGATCTTCTGATAGCCATCATTTAAAAATACATTTTCTTTTTTTGTTAAAACTGAGTAGAGAATTTATCACAGCTCAGTAAGACTCAACATAGCTTTTTCTGTTACCTTGAAGTTGGTTATAAGGCAGGCTGCAGCAGGCAACGTGTCACTGAGCATGTGATTTTGCACATACCAAAAAGAAGAAAGGCAGTTAAATATAAAAAAAGCACATGCTGTTTATAGAAATGCTCTCTTTTCAAGTATTTTTTAATTTAAACTAAGCCAAGAGTAAGCATGAGTGACAGTTGCTCAGTTTGATGACAAATCCTTGGGTAATAAGAAATTGCTTGAAAACATTCATTCTTTTGATATAATTAAAGTTAGATTTTCAATTTACAATATTTATTACTGGCATAATTGAAAAACAAGAAAAAGGAGATAGGTCCCAGTTTTAAGATCTGAAAATCTGAGTGTGCTCTGTGTATAATTCAAAATTCTGGTCATGACACAGTAGGTCTACTAGTTATAGATCAGGTAATTTAACATTAATATCTTTACTGTACACAGAAAGTTTCTCTGGGGTTGTTTGTGTGTATCAAATTTAAATTTTATTGTAATTTCTATATTAGTTTAAATGCTAGTACTTGTTTGGTTTTCCAAGTGATTTATTGTTTATTAATATAGTTATTGATGTGCTAAAAGGCTGTTTGTTTCGTTTTGGCTTGTGTTATCTACATGAAAAAATTTAATTTGTCTTATCAGGAATATTGGCCAAGGACCATCATTCATGCACAGTGTGCCCTATATATGGTTATCCTGAATATTGTCAGTACAGTTAATTCGTTAAAGTTTGGTATGTTTAATGTTTGATTATAAGCTATAAACACTGAAAAATAATTGTCTTATGTAACAGGTTACTGTGAGAAATAATAGAAACAGAGTTTTAGTCCTATGTACAGTAAGCATATAAATGTCATCACTTTGTTTTTTGTACTTATAATAGGAAAATTTATCAAAACAGAGTTACATAAATTGAAGAGATAAAATCAGTTTTCAACAGTGATGGTCCATGGCCTCCACCAAAATCCCTGAACAGAAGGTTATCCTTTGTGGTGAGTTTGGAGTAGGTAAAAGCTCTCTCTTCAGAAGATTTGCAACTAATACATTTGTCTCCAGTGCAGATCGAAGTTCTACCTTAGGGCTTGACCATTTCTATAAAGTTTATAGGGTTTGTGGAAGAGAAGTTAAGGTGGGTTCAGTTTTTGTGAACTATATCCAGATACTTTATGTAAATATATTGTATCAGGTATTGCGCTTGTTACATGATATTAAACATGCATGTTTCAATTTACCATTGTTTACATTCAGTGAAATACTTGTTATGAGAGTAGTATATTCCTAGTTCTTGTGTACTAAGTCTAGCAGCTGTACATTCTAAGAGAGTGATATATGATATATAGAATAAAATGGCCTGAATTGATTGTTTAGAGTATAATAAATGATTACACATTTTTAGTCTTCCTTAGCTTTCGTTAGTTTCTAGAGCTTTAATATCATACAGTCTTAAAATCTGATAATTAAGTCTTAAAAAATATTAAATTTTAAAATGTAATACACCTTGAATCATTAATGAGAGTTATATCTGTGGTTTGCATATTAAAAATTAGGATGATTAATAATGGATAGTTTCCAGAGATGATAAATTTCACTTTCTTCCTAAGTCTTAGTAATACTGAATAGGGTAAAAAGTTCAGTGTCAGATTTTAAAATTTCTGTTAAAACTGTGTGAAAGTTGTATCTATTGATTTAGCTTGACTTGGTTTTAGAAGTTTAATGTCTTGGTTTTTTGTGAACAAATGTCAGTCCAAACATTTGCAATGTGTTACTTAAAGTTTATACATAGAGGAAAAGATATGAATCAAATAATAGGTGAAAAAGCAATCTTTCAATCCAATTTACTTTTATTGCATAATACTTTTATATTAGAAATGATATTGATATCAGAAGTATTTATGTAGAAAAAAATTACTTGAAAAAAACTAAGTATCGTTACATTAGATATTTTCATTACTGCCAGAGATAAGGATCATTTTCTAAAACAACTTCAGTTGTACTAAGCTAAGTCTGTTTTTATAATATAAATTATAAGAATACATGAGTGAAAGCAAAGGAGAATATGTTACATGGTAACCACACTACATCGGCTTTACCCAATACTAGGGCTCATCAGGCCAGCTGGGGTACAACAGACATAGCAGTGGTCTAAACACTATATATAGCATGTTCAACAACTGTTAGGGTATGAATTAGAGTAGTTAATAATTAATAAGAATATAATTTTAACATAATTTATTTTAATCGTAACTGTTATTATTATTGTTCACTAGTGGTAGCAAGCTAGTTTTCCTTAATTTATATAAGGTTTGGCTTTCACATTAATAGTTGTAGTATATTAGATTTAAATTGCTGTGTAATTAAGATTTGTTTAGGTATGGTGTCTCAATTTGTTGGCTTTCAGCTCCAGTTGTGGGACACTGGGGGGATGGAACGGGTGGCTTCTGTCACCAGTAGCTACTACAAGTTTGCAGAAGCTGCTATCCTGGTTTTTAGTTTCGACAACCCTGACTCTTTTAATATCTTGTCCCAACACTTGCTGGACATTGTAACTTATGCAGAAAGTGCCAAAATTTTTTTATGTGGAAATAAAATTGACTTGAAGCATCAGATGTACGTTACAGATGTTGACATTGATGCATTTTGTGAGCAGTGTCATAACTTAATCAGTGGTGTCTTCAAGACATCATGCAAGACTGGAGAAGGTGTTGAAGAAATGTTTGCCGATATTGCTCGTCAACTAGTTTCAACTTCCAAGACAGCAGACATCGAAGAGGTGGCAAAAGATTCCTTTAGGTTGACTTCTCAAGACGAAACTCAGGAGTCATGCATGTGTTAGTCCAGTTGTTTTCTCTACAGTCGAGTCCAGCAAACGAGAACAATTTTTATAAATATGTTTCTAATTTTATAGAAAATAGGTGAACAGTTTTGGAAAAAAAAACTTATGAAAGTTTTAAGACTTATGATTATGTAGAGTAAAACTATTTTAATGGTATGTATAAAATTTTGTATTTATTTATTCTTTTGAGGACTTATAAAGTTCTCAAGAAAGTGAATAAATTTAAGTACTATAGTTTGTTTTATAAAGGATCGTACAGTAGATTTCAGAATTGTAATCTCAAATATGTTAACTTTAACAGGCGTAAGGTATAAGATGAGTTGACTGTTCACAAGTAATTTACGTGTTCACCATTTCTGGAAGATTTTATGTGTAGACGGTGATGACACTATGCACATAGTTTCACTGTATCTTTATGGAAGACTGCTAAAAAAAATGTCAATAGGTTTTCATTGTGTTTGTCAATTAATTTTGTGCAAAATTATTTACTAGATCTTTTCAAATGATAATTCCTGCAGAGAGTTAGAATTATAAATGATAAATAGCATATGATAGAAAGCCATTTGACCCTTTGAGGTAATCCCTCACCCACCAAACCCAAACAGGAAATTGCAGGTATACAGGGATTGCAAAAGTTAAAAAGTGTATGGATATCTATATATGTAGGAAGTATCAATTTTATATAATTCTGAACATAGAAATTGTTGCATAATATTATTATAGATAAGACTGAACATGCAGGAAATAGTAGTCCCACAGAATGCTTAACATAGAAAACTAACACTGTTAGAAAAAAGAGCTGTGCAAAAAGAATGTTATAAAATAATAGTTCTTAATGTATTTCTAGCATAAGTATCACACAAGCATAATATAATGCAAATTGAATAGTGCTTCTTACAAACATTTTATGATATATTTGGTGCATAAAAATCCAAAGAATAGAAAATTTGATCTGTATTTTAATAGTAAAATTCAACTTGGAAATTCCTGGTTTGAGTTATTTTGCCTTTGAATTGATTGATAGATAATTAACACTTTGACATATTATTCATTTAAATCTTACTATTTTAATTTCTTTATCCCATGCTCCTAATAAAAAGTTAGTGTTATTTTGAAAATATCAGTCTTGTGTTGCTATTTAAAGGTTGGATACAGTGATTGTAGTTAAACTTTAGTGAAGTTATATTCATGACATAGTACATATGATTAATGTATAAAATTTTTATTTGGAGAGGGCTATGGTCTAACATAAAATGTATTTTTATATTTAGAAAAAAATTGAACATTTAACAAATCTGTAGAATATTTAATTTTTTTAAACAAACTCAAGCATACACTTAAAGTAGGATTATGTAAATTTGTCTTTTTTTTGGGAGGAGGGGAAGGTGGGATCTCATTGATTATCAAGCACATTTTGGACAATTCACCAAAACCAAGTTACTAATGATGCTTATACAAATTATAGGTTCTATGAATTAATGGATTAAAATTTTTGTTGTAATGGTAATCAGAATTAAAATATACTTCTGGTGGTTTCTTTTTTTAAAGTAGGAGTGATAGAAATATTTTGAAGGAAGAGCAAGCTTGATAATTAAACGTGTAATGACACTGCATTTACAGGACTGTTTATAGAATGTTTAAATGGAAATTTTACATACAGTGATTTTGTATAAGCAAAGAAAATTTTAATGGTCATATGGGCAACTGACTGTAGCATTTAAGTAATGAATCTGTTTAGGTTTTTTTTAAATGTATAGTTTCTCGCAGAAGATAACACTTCAGTACCTGAACTACAAACTAGTCCCCTCTGTGTTGAGTTTCTCTTAAATTCCCAAAGTTGACAAAAATGCCAGCTGAACCTTTTTTAATAGTAGACATAGAATAAATTGTATTTTTGACATTTCAGATTTTCATTAAAGTAAAATTATTGTAAATAACTTTTTGAAAAAGTGAGATGTTATTGTTTCTGTTAGTATAGGAAATATTCCTATAGTTATATTTTCTAATAATGTTTTAAATTATATGAAACTGATAAGTCAGTTTTTCACATTTAAGATTTGTAAAACTATCTAACGAAACACAACTTAACCCTTTACCTTTCAAATATTTAATGTTTTTATCTCACTGTAAGTTTAGAAGGCTTTATGTATGTAATTAGAAGCAATTATGCCTACCACTTGTATAAATGCCATAAGTTATTATAAGCTGGGTTCATGTTACAAATATGTTTACTTATAGATTTGAAATTAGTTTCTCAGTTTTGAGGAAATTTAATATTTACTAGTTAAACTAGTAACATAGTAGTTGTGAGTTGGATAACAAAAAATATAGCAAACTTGATATGTGCTCAGGTGTATAAGAGTATGTTGTTTGGTAATCAAGGTGTGATTTTTAAAAAAAAAAGTTTAATGTACTTTTGTTATAAATATATGGGGAAAAAACCCATACAATGAACAAAGTTTAAATGAATTAATTCATTGTTTTATGGAATATCTTTGGTGGGAAGGGCATTGGATGACCATGTGAATGGCAAAGTTTAAGATCAAACTGGTGTGTATTGTACACTATGATAATAAACATGAAATTTACCCAGAAATGTGTTAGTGCTACTTAGTAATATAGAAGTCAAATTTGAAATTCTGTTACTGAATTTGTGACATAAAACCACAAACACTGACTGTAAGTGCAAATAAAGCAGGTATCCACTTGATTTAGCCATTCAAAATGTTAAACGTCTGATATTAAATCACCAAATTCATAAAATAATGTAATAGCTCTTGAGAATTTGAATGTGTGTAAGTCAATACTCCTATTTTCATATGAAACATATAAATACAATGTTCCATGACTGCTGTTATAGTAAATTTGTCAGTATATTTCAGAATCAACACAGTCTTGGGGTTTCTAATATTTGTTCGTAAACATCTAGTCATTATTTAAGTAAAGAAGAAACTGGTTTCTGTACGTTTAATTATTGATTTAGTAGGTTGATAATGTTTTGAATTAACAAAAACATATTTATTTCATACCATTTTCTAAAGCTTGATATTGTATAGTAACTCGAATATCATTGCATTGTTATTCTGAAAAACATAAACACATTTTGAAGTATATCAACACAACTGAAAGCATAATTATCATTAATTAACATGAGTTAGATTGATTGTCAGTTTAGAAATGCCTGACTTAAAGTACATATATGTATTTATAAAATAATTTCCCTGGCTTAAAACTAATAATAATATCAGGCTTAAGACAAGTGGACTAACAGATTTCAGAGTCTGGAATTAGAATTATTTTGTATTATTCTAGAAATTCTGAATTTACAGAAATACTGTTGAAATAAAGATATTAATTTGACCTCAAATGTTTTGCTGATCTCTGCTAGTTCTAATTAAACAAACAGTTGTGGCCCAGTGGTTAGAGGATTCGTTATGGTGCTTTTACGTCTTTGGTCGTTTGTTAATTTCCTATAAAAATCCTTTCCGAAGAACTTCAGCGATACAAGTCCTTTCTTAAATAAAACTAATTTATTCTTTCTCAGCACAACTTTGCAATACACAGAATTTCCACAGTCACTTTAACTTAACACACGCTATAATTTACAACGATTCACGCACTTTACTTAAGATCACTACAGCTAACTTGACTCAATTATCTGTCTCTATATCTCTCTTCAATCTGCTATTATTTATGCCGTCACCTCTCCCCCGCTTTATTTGCCGGGCTAAAATATACAAAAATAGAGGGCGCGTAGAAAAGACTAGAGTTGCCAGGAACAGACATGATTCTTCTAGAATCTCATGACGTGTTACTAGAGTCAGACTTCGGCTGTCGTAACAGTGCTGTTAATTACCTGCCCTCTCTAAACTCTAGTTCGGAATGAGTGACGGTTGTACGCAGATAGTCATTTATGTAGCTTTGCGCAAAAATTTTAAAACGAACAAACAAACAAAACCCTAGGTAATTTATCTCTATCTCCAACCTCTAACTATTACTTTCAGTCGTTTGTAATACCACAAATAGTCTTAGTTCACACTTTCTGGAGTAATACAAATGTGTACTTTTTGTGAAAAATAATTCAGTCTCTTTAACTTAGCTGTTAAAGTTTTAATTACATCTTGCGTTAGTTAGGGTTTCGTTACGTGTCACAAGTGCGATAATTTTGCCGACAAACCTCCCAAAAAGACAGAAATATAAATTTGTCGTATCAAACAAATTGCAACTTGATAAGCCTGCGTACGTTTCTCTCCTCATGTTAACTGGATGGAATACTCGTTCGATTTCCGTATCAGTGTTTCATCATCATTGTTAAAACTGATTCCGCATAACAGCTTCCAGATGAACATCCTGTCATAACTACTGTAACAATGAAGTCAAGATAACACGATGATCACGTGTTGCGAGAAAAAAGTCCAACCTCAATATCAGTGTTTTTATCAGGTGGTGAGTGTGATGTTAAGTTTTATCTCGAAAATTAGGTACTTTATACTTCCCGTTTTGATACTGGTAAAGATGAAGTTTTTATAGAAGGTTGAGACTGTTTCGAGTGCCCTATGGACTATTTACATCGTGTGTATCGACCCCAGATTTTTAGCGATATAAGCTCTCAAGCTTACCGCATAACCACTGGGTAATTGGGAGTGAGAGAGAATGTTGTGTTTTACTGTGATTATGGGATGGTTCCCGAGATTGTTGTTCCATCTCACGTGTTAACTAATACTCTCTAACTAAGAGATTTTCGTCGTGAAGATTACACGGGTGTTTCAAAAAGAGCCGAAATATGAAAGATAAGATACGTTGTTGGTTGTTGCATATCGAAGCTTCTGGTAGTTTGTGAATAAATATTCAGTACGTTTCTTACCAGCGGCACACTTTTATTTACCTGTTAAGTACAAATTAAACTGATTTCAAATCAACCGTGTACTTGCGACGATTATGTCTGCAATGACGCAACGTAACCATCGTACAGTTGATGTGAGGGAACAATGAACTTCGAGTTAGTTAGGCCTAAATATGTTTAACAAGGTTTTGGTTGAAAGCGTAACGCACTTTCGCTTATTATGACAGACTTATATCAGTCATACTACAACAACTGTATCATCTAGATTCTAGATAACTGATCTAGATCAGTGGTTCTCAACCACCTTGCTGGTCCGTAGGTTTTCACGAGAGAAAAAAATTAAAAAAATTCAAATGTAAATCGTAATGGTTTTTGTTGAAATTGTATGTTAGTGGTCCACGATAGTATAGGGAGGTAGTGAGTCGGTCCATGGTATCGAAAAAGTTGAGAATCGTTGATCTAGATAATATTTCTACAATACAGGTCCGTATGAAAACCTTTATTTTCAGGATCTGTTACTGCCAATTTTCAAATAACGTACTGATATTTAATTTATAGCTGAAAGCAAAGAAAGTGAGTTTTTAATGATGAGAGTTGTTTTTAATTTTGCGCAAAGCTACTCGAGGGCTATCTGTGCTAGCCATCCTTAATTTAGAAGTGATAGACTAGAGGTAAAGCAAGTAGTCAATACCAACCATCACCAACTCTAGTGCTAGTCTTTTATGAACGAAAAGTGGGATTGATCGTTACATTGCAACTCCCACACGGTTGAAAGAGTGAGCATATTCGATTACGGAATTCGAACCCGCAGATTGCGAGTCAAGCGCCCAAACCACCAGGCCATGCCAGATCCTCACTAGGGTTGCTAATAGACTGAGATATTTTCGGTAGATGATTTGTCGCTTATGATATAATGTTTAGATGAATTAATACACTTCTATGTTCAGGACGTCTAAGTGGCTTAACTATAAAGATTGGCTCGTTTTTTCAAGTGTATCACAAACATTTCTTTGTTCCACTCTTTTATAATTTATTTCAAACAATAATGGCATAGCATGTTGGAGGTTGACCAAAGATGACTTTCTATACTCATATGTGTGTTATGATTAATACGGTTCTTGGTCTAATGGTTTGTGGATGGGAACTGAAGATCTGAAGGTCTCGGGTTCGAGACGTGGTGCTACCAAACATGCTTCGCACCTTTAACTGTGGGTACGATATAAGAGTAACATCCAATCCCGACCTTCCGTTAAAAGTGTACACTTCAGTCAGCGGTTACTGCATACTGATTGTCCTTCCCCTGGTTTGCATATCAAAATCAGGGATGGCTATGCTTAAACCACAGTTGTTTTAACTTGCCGTTCAGTACATTGTGTGCATAAGGTGTTGTTCAGGTGAACAAACACATCATAAGACGTCGGCGTCATCTGTTTATTTATCTTGCAGAATGGTTAAATATTGAATCACCTAACTTACTACATAAAATGCCTTTCACTAACATTCCAAATTACAAGGTCACGGTGCAGTTTTTTTGTCATGATATTATACACAAGAAAAGACGGCCAGATTATGAAGTCTGGTATGAAAAATATCTTCTGTACTTTTCCAGAAATGGCTGTTTTTAAGGTCACTAGGTCAGAGATCACGGTCGTAGACATTATTTTTGTGCAATATAAGATAATTAATTGTTCGCTTGATATAGATAAAGAGCGGATAACGTATGTTTCAGTTGGGTACTGTTTTCATCAGTCTAAATTAACCTGTAAAATAATTTTTATAGGCATAATATTATTTATATAGATTTTCATATATCCGTTTTATTTCTTTGGGGAGCTGATATATTGTGCGTCAATGGGATAAGGGGGTCAAAGAGTTAATTTGGAGATAGGAAAATGAGCACATTCGAATCAGTGGGAGTTACAATATATTGAATTTAAAAATCTTAAAACTATCTCAGATGAAGGGGGCTCCTGGGGCAGAACTCTTTAATGGGGAGTCTGTCCCACATGCCACACTGGTGGACACGCTCCAGTAGAAAGGAAAGCTTGCTCTAATTATACTACAAACGTATATCTATAAATAGAATTCATGGACCCAACCATGCGTGTCTATTCATTCCAGTGCAGTAGTTATCAAGTCAGATAAAATCTCACACTAAGTGGCCATGATCTAAATTTTCAATTTCAAACCACAACATCGGTAAATAAATAAATGACTTGAGAACCAACCAGGTGATTGAAGACCGATCAAACAATCCAGCTACTAACATTTTCTTCCGAATGTTGCGCCTATATTAAATGAAACCAGAATACACGCGCTTTCGTTGTTATATCGATTGAGGTCATAAGTTAAAAGAACGTTTTCATTGTATGCATGAGTAAGTCTGCATCTGTACCAAACTTAAGACAATACATCTCACTGAAATTTTATTACTGTGTGGCTCCTCGTTGGTAATTCTGAGGTTATTCCGTCTACCAGACATATGGTCAGGTGGTTAGGGCGCTCGACTCGCAATCTGCGGGTTCGAATCCCCGTCACACCAAACATACTCGCCCTTTCAGCCGTGGGGGCGTTATAAAGTGCGGTCAATCCCACTATTCGTTGGTAAAAGAGTAGCCCAAGAGTTGGCGGTGGGTGGTGATGACTAGCTGCCTTCCCTCTAGTCTTACACTGCTAAATTAGGGACGGCTAGCGCAGATAGCCCTCGTGTAGCTTTGCGCGAAATTCAAAAACAAACAAACTACTAGACATAA